CTCTGATTCGCATCTTGACCGTTATAAACTCACTGTACTTTCGTGGCTTCAGTCGTCATTGATTGTTGTGTGTTTCCTCACTAAACGCGGGAACATCAAGACGCCCAACGGTTTTTACTGTATTTGAAGATTTATGACGTTAATAAAATCCATTTTTAACTTTCTCCTTTGTGCCTTTATGCAATTAATTTCATTTCAAGCAGAAGTTTAACCCGTTTAACGGGCTGCCGTTGGGACTGGGAGGCGCTGTGATGATGACGACACAACACTTCTCAATGCCTCTGACCAATGGAAGAAGAGATCAGTTATAAATACAATTTTCACTAGGCTAGTTAAAATGTGAATTCTTGATATCAGGAATTCTATTTCTAACAATGGCAATTTTTGATATCAGGAATTACATTTCCACTCGTAAAAATGTTAATTCTTGAAATGAACAATGCATGACGTCATCACTCACAGAAATACGAAATCTTGATTCTTTAATAATTAAATAAACTAAAAACTATACTTCTTTATATCTGTATTTTCACTAGAATTTTAAAAAGCTGCCATCCAAATTCAGTTGTTAAAAGTAATTGATTTCTTAGTTGAAATTCCAATTTCACAAATCAGAAATACAGGCCTATTAGCTTTGTAAATATCATTTTTTTTATGTCAATTACGTGGTTACTAGTACAAATGTCTGTTCTTGATATCAACAATTGAATTGATAGGCTAATAGTAAAACGTTTTTTTTTAATGAATAAAAGTCAAAACGACTTGCCATAATACACCATAGAAACGATGACGTCGTAGAAATATAAGATTCCGTTCATTTGTTTGAATACTGCTGTTAAAGAAGCGACAGGTGGAACAAAAACAGAGCTGTTGGACATAAACAAAGAGCACGTGACTAAACCGCACAGGCTAGGCTAACTTCTCGTGTAGGCTACTGTAAAGTTGTCGTATTTAACCATTACAACACTGTGGCGTTAGAAATATGCGGCATAGCCTAAGCCATCTCTTTGATTGTGTTGGAATCCCTAATGTTCTGCTACAGATAACATTCAATGTGTTCACGTGCTTTTTCTTCTTCAGGTCCCGGAAAAACAAATGACGAAACTTAAAGACAAAGTTTAAGATTTACATGAACATGAAGAAACGAAAGGAGAGCTACCTGGAACAGCGTTATAACAATAACGTTAATCAATAAAAAAATAATTCTGCTACAATGATTTCCTCTTCCCGTGATCTGAAATAAACTGTCAAGAGCTTACTCTTCCGTTCGTTCAGGGTTCGTTAAAGTATAGAATAAGTTTTGTTCTTCACTTTTCCTTTGTTACATAGCATGGTAATGCTATCTGTCCTGCCCACTAAGCCAAAATTTAACGCTGGAAAATAAAGTTAAAACTGTATACACATGAGCTCTGCACTTGTCTCGGGAAGTATTTGAAAAAGATGGATTTCTACTGCAGGTTGGTTGATTTTATTTTTCAGTGACTGTGGAAGCATGTGAGGACAAAGATAATCAAACAGCTGATCTTTAAGCAATCTAACAAAAAGGAAAACTAAATACATGATCTTTGCTACCTCCCTATCCAAATCCAAGATGAAAAAGAAGGAAGTCACAGAAATCCTACAGCACCATGGACAGTACCCACAACTCCATGATCCGTCAGACATTTCCCTTTCTGCCACATGCCTGAAATGTATTTATACTGTATGAGTTAGTGCTAAAGATGTCTTAGAATGGCTCCTGCACTGTTTGAATAATAATCTTCACATTCAGCCTCAAAGCACTGAATGGGTGATATCATGAAAAATCTATTTTTCCTTGATCTTTTTTTGGTGCATGTAATGAAGAAGAAATATGTTTGTTTTTTAAACACCAGTAAAACATAACCAACTTACATAACCAACCGCGTGGCAATTTTATTTGATTTAGCTATCAACATTGCAATCACAACCTACAATAACTTAGACACATGCAATTGAGACAATAACTGCACACTGTGGACAAGACTTTATTAGGCATTTCACAGTACATCATGTCATTTCTATAATCTTTATTATAAAAAATTTTTTTAACTCAGAATTATGTTGACAGTATTAAACAAAAAATACATTTTACACATCTCTATGTTTATTATAGTAATATGTTGTTGAATATAAGTTCCATTTGACACATTTCCCCCCACATCATCTTGTCAATCAAGACAATTCAAAGCTTTGAATTTAGAATGTTTTCAAAACCAAGATAAAGCCTTAATAAATTGTTGGACTTAAACTTCACAGAAGAAACTTAAATCTCAGGCACTGGGACTGTTAATACAGTACAGATCTGGTTTATCTGGTAATCTGCATATCTGGCAGAAGAAAGACGAGTCAAAGGCATGTTTGTGTAAAGTTTTGAAGTTGTTAAAAAAAGGGAAGCTGTGTTCCGAAAAAAAAAAAAAATACCTTGAAGAAACCTTCATGAGTTCCATTAAATAAAAACACAAAACAAAAGACAGAAAAGAGAAACTCGAAACAAATTTACTCCCAATTTCAAATGTAGGCCTATAATAAAATAGTAAAATAATTTTTCATGGAAGACTCTTTTAAATCAACAGACTTGTCTGGACTTGGGGTCGGATGTTTTATTAAATGAAAGTCCCCCTGTAGTCAATAATTGTATCATATTTGATCACCAAAATTAAAAGTTGAAGTGTTTTTTCCTTGAATTTACTCTTTATTCTACTATTTCATCTACACCCTTGCCTCATTTAGTATATGCGGTTCTATGAATATGCACATAAGCCCCGCCTCCACTCACTCACAGCAGCTCAGAGATCCACTCATAGACGATCACACCTGATTGGTTACAAGGTAGATTGTGACGTCAGAAACACCAGCGATTTCAAACCGCATATTTGAGATTTGGTTTAGGCTACTGCAATTTTAAAGATAAAAAAAATACTCAGCAATGGTGTTGACTTATGAATTTACACATGGTTTGTCTTAAAGCATTTAAAAACACCACAGACATAAACAATATTGATCTTCACTTTAATGTCTAATATTTATTAATTTAAAGTCTGAGTACACAAATACACCCAATTTATTATAGGCTATACATATTATAAAATACGACTGCTGACATCCATCAAAATGACTGATGGACGCGATAGCCTAAACAAAATCTATGTAAGCAATCCATGAACATCAAGACTGTGTGAGTATACGTTTGATATATATTTTTTTATATCGTACCTTATTCGTTGTCTAAGTTCCTGGCGTCATTTCAGAATCAATAATCATTTGTCAGGCGATGCTTCCCGTTGTATCGTAGGCCGCGTAGCCTACACCTGTCAGTGATAAAACACACAGCGTCGAGCAGTTAACGGATGCCTGTCTGAAAATAATCCTGCACTCGAATGTTAGATTGTTTTCGCTCTAAGATTCAGTAGTTTAATGCTTTGTAATTTTTTTCACTTATTTCTGTTTCATCAAAACATCCCACCCGCAGCGGTTTGGCGCACTCTCCCTTCAGTTTTTGCACGACGCCCGGTAAGCGTTTTTGTGATTGTATTTCAGTCAGTTTTTGTATCTAAGCATGCTTAAGTACACACCGCTACCGATGATGAGTGTTGTAACACCGTCAGTTTTCTGGTGATTTTTCAAATCACTAGTATGGACCACCAACGTTCTGAGGTGATGACATATATAAAAGGCCTAGGCTATAACATCATTCACGAACAGCCACACAGTCTTTTCATTTACATACTAAACAACTAAAAAAATCATGGCTGAGCAGGAGGATTGCAAGGCTTACCAATGTAGCTACTTCTACTGGATTCACACAAAATAATGAGACAATGCAAAATAGATGTGACTACAGAATAGCCACAGCCGTTTTATTTGCTCTTTTAAACTGAAATGTTTTTATATGTTTAACATTTTGAACTAAAATGGTTTAAAAGAAATGGTGATGGAATAATAATAATAATTTTAAACCAGTAAGAGTGAATAGCACAATAAATATGAACACAATTCTTCAAATTCTCCTTTTGTTTTTCAAATGTTACAAACCTAGGTATTGGGTTAGATTATAGCACACCAATCTTTAGTTTGATCTTTACATTAATTAAAAATGGTAGATTTCTAAACTACATTAATCTGTAGCAGATACATATGCTAATGTTATAATACATGTTTGAGACTGTGACACATAGAACAAAACATGGTGTAGACAAAAATAAAATAAAAAATAATTTTGTGTAGATCTGTATGCCTTTCAATACCCATATCTCTTTGTTTCTAACAACTGTGACCTTACATACTCATCCTGTGACTTCACACCTCTGTGCATTTAGATAGATGTTTGCTTCTGTGCATGGGATTTATTTTTAGTTTTAGCATACATTATGTTTCAAGACATCTAAAATATGGTAGTGATCACATTTTAAACATATATCCTGTGTTTGCACCATTTTGCAGACAAAATTATCCGTTTGTCTGTATGTTCAGAACATGTGCAAAGTACTTACAGCATCACGGAATGATGCACTGATCCCCATTGAGTTGTTTATAATCATTTCTTGTTTTATCGGGTGAATATAGTTCTTGTACGCTGATTCATGCATTATTAACGAGACAATTGAAGAGCTTATTTCAGAGCATGATTGTTGTCTTTAAAGGAACAGTAGCTTGGAAATGTCTGTGCCCTCATAAAGCCTGTGTAATGATGATATTGAGGCATTTCATATAGATACAAAACAGTGATTCAACACTGTTTGGTCTCAAATCAGAACTTATACATGTTGCTTGGTGTACCTTAAAATATATTTTAAACTATAAAGCTAAGGCTGCTAAGCTCTTTCATTAATGCTAGAACCAGGTGTCCTATTTGGGCACACACTGACACCACTGGAAGGGTGTGCTTTTTTAACTCTGTGCCAGCGTATGCAATAGATGGCTCATATTTCAGTACCCTATTTAACTAAATTTGGTATATTCTAACTCTTAATTTATTATTTTAATAAAAAGCCCCCACATGAATAGCTTCCACTCAGTGTCACCAATGGCAGAGCTTGGCAGCTGGCCTGTTTGGAGACTCTGTGTGCCCTCAGCTGCCTCCAGAAGTGACAGTCGGTTCTCTGTATAGACTATCTGACTGTTGGAAGGCTGGAATATTTGAATGTCATTGGGGGAGGTCATCTTTGGCTTGAGGAGGGGGCTGGTCAATAGGGGTTAATATATGCCTCTGCAATGGAGCAAGTGGAGACTTGCATTGATATTGGTGGCCAAAGGGCCCTTTTTGAGGCACCAGGGCCATCTGTACACAAGTTTAAATGGTATAGTCCAATTTGAACACCCCTCCATATTGAGCTAAAATGGAAGTGCCTCTTTTGCAGTGTTTGCTGGGAAGAAGAAGAAGTACAGTCGGGATTGGGACTTTGAAGAGAGCAATCTGAAAAGGTAAGAGGAGCTGTGTTCTCCAATGGCCCAGGCCACTGATGGATGGGCTCATTTGGGATGTACATTGGCCCTAATGCATGCCTGTATATGGATTTTTACAAGTCTTGCATGGTGTCTGTATAGGGTGAGAATAGATATCATGGTTAGCATGAACAAGGAAATATGGAGGGAGCTGCTAGGGGGAGCTATAACAGGGCAGACAACAGCTGGCTGAAAGTGATCTACTCCAAATGGGCTGTAGACTTTTTCAAATACTCACATTTTTGGGAAAACACAGGAAGATGTTGATTTGTTGTGCTTTGGCTTGTTAAAGATGGTCTGCAATTGTTCTGTCTTGATCCCTTGGCTGCTTGTCCAAGGGAAGTGTCCAATTTGACATACAGTCAATGCTGTACAAAAGAAAGAGAGGAAACATGTTAAGGATGGTCCCTGAAGACTAAAACGCACTTAAATGTACTAAAAGGATGTAAATCATATATATCATTGTGTATTTATGTGATTTTACCAGTTAATTTTGACATATTAGCTTCTCTGAGTGAACTGATAGAGAGCTTTAAAGATGGCCGCTCCTTGGAGTGGTGAATGCTGTTGGGACGGCTTACTTCCTGATTTATTCGACACTCTGGATTTTTTATCTCTGTGCTCAAACATATAAAACTGTTTTCAAGTTAAACTGCAAGAAAAAGAATAATCTTTTACAATTAAGTAACTAATAATCAGAGATATGGTTACTAGTATTGCTGACTTGAAGAAACCTTTAGGAGATCATGTACCAGTCTTAACTAAGTGAGCGTTGAGTGTAAACACTCTAATGAACTGCTTTTCTAGTTAAGCCTGGAGTATGGGAATAGTTAAGCACACAGTATGGACTAGTCTCAGATTAGTCTTGCCAGAGAGTCATCAGGGCCCTTTTCTAAGTTCTGTAATGGACTAATTAAGGCAGCCCAGCTTTTTATTATTTATAAATCAATATAAAACTTACAACATTTTGCTATTGGGCTGGTGTTGGTCCAAATGACCTATTAACCCTTTCAGTGTTGATCATATTAATCAATAATAAATATGTGTGTCTTTCCTGTTGGAATGGAGGGAAGTTGTGTTAAATTAAAATAAGTGAATTATATATATATTATAAAGCAAAATGTTGTAAGTTTATATATATGAACCTAATCATATTTGTTTACACTGAATAAGGCATAGAGGAACCGAAAAGGTTAAATATTCAAAAGTGATGGTCATATTAATCAATAATCATTCATCTTTTGATTTTATTTGTATCTTTCCTGGTGGAAATGGAGGGGATTTGTTTTATATTTGAATAAGCGAGTTATTCAGTTAATATAAATAAACGCAATCATATTTGTTTACACTCGATAAGGCATACAGATGAACTGAAAGGGTTAAATACGCAAAAGTGATGATCATATTAATCAATGATCATTAATCTTTTGATATCATGTTTGTCTTTCCTGTTGGAAATGGAGGGAAGTTGTTATATTTAAATAAGTGAGTTAGTTAATATAAATTAACCTTATCATATTTGTTTACACAAGATAAAGCATAAAGATGAACTGAAAGGGTTAAATACTGAAAAAATAGAAAGAATGGAGGATGTAGTAGGTGCAACTTTGTTATTCATATCCTAAAACCATCCAGCATTTAAAGGGTTAAATGTTGTCCTCCTGAGGGCATCACAGTCAATTTCACTTTGTCATTGTCTGGCGTTTTTTATCAGAAATCTGAAAATGTAAATTACTGCCCCCTCTGGATGGATCAGGAACAAGGGTCTGTGTCTCAAATGGGAAAATATGAACAGTAAATATACTTTCATTTAGAGTTGCATGCATCCCCTTTTTTGCTTAAAGACAGCTGCACATCATCTACTATCACAACGCAATGTATAATTCTGCTGTGAAGTTTCATAAGCTCTCTTCTCTCATAGACTACTGAACTACTACTATATTTTGTCCCGTACACTAAATCCAGAAAGTGTTAAAGTTCCCTGTTTGAGGATAGTTGTTTAACTTGAATGTGACAGCCTCATACAGCAGCATGCAGTGTCCTTATTGTGATGGTCGGTTGTCCTCCTAAAAGTGCTTTTTAACAAAAATGTACTTTTATATTTTATAGCTCGCTATACTACAGCCATACTACTTTACAAGTATGCCACAATATTCTTTTGAAAAGTCATTATTTAATTTGACATCAAAGAACATTGGTCAATTGTGGATATAGGTTTTAGTTCACCCAAAAAATTTCATCATTTACTCACCCTCATGTTGTTCCAAACCTGTATGAATTTCTTTCTTCTGTTAAACACAAGGGATGATATTTTAAAGAGTGTTGGTAACCAGACAGTTGACGGTAGCCATTGGCTTCCATAGTAGGAAAAAAAAATACTATAGAAGTCAATGGATTTGGAACAAGTTCAGGGTGAGTAAATGATAACAATTGTTTTGTTTGTGAACTATCCCTTTAAGTGGTAAGTCAGACATTTGCCATGACAACATTGTCACCTCAAAAAATATATATTTTATAACCATACTGTTTGTTTCTCCAAAGTTACGCGATAGTACTCTTTAATGAGCCACAAAGTGACATAAAAACATTGATTGAACCTTTAGAATGGATATTACGTCTTGCTTTTATATTAGTAGATACCAACAATTACCATACCATATTACCATACCAACATTTTTACTGATCCATCCCATATTTTACCCCCGAAATATTGTGAGATATGAAGTTGCAGTTGCTCAGAGACAGAAATGGAGCTTCCATATTTCTGTGTTAGCCTCTAAAATGATTTTTGAGTTTTAACAAAAATTAACTTTTATGTTTTTAGGGCCATATTGTTTAGCTTTCATAGAATTATGCCATAATATTCCGGTGAAGTCATTTTGTTCAATGAGTCATAATGTACTTTGACATCAAAAAACACTGATAGCTTGTTGATATGTCACTGTTTAATTGCTTTAATAACAGGGCTCAACAATAGCCCAGCTAACAAAAATGTGTTCTAAGAATGTTTTACAAATGTTTTTCTTAGTTATGCGAACACTAAGGAAGCATTCCATATTAACATTTTGCAAACATGATTAGAATGTTACTTTTTGAATGTTCTCAGAAGTAATAATATTTAAAAAAGGATGAACATCCATCTAAAATGTTTTAGGAAAAAAGATCCATGAATGATGTATAAATAATGTTTTTGTGCTAATTTTATTTATTAACATTATTAAAGACCAAATGACTTTGAACGGACGTTCTATTAACGTTACTGGAAGAACGTTCATTCATAACAGATAACAAGTGAAACTTGGCACAACGTTAGAATGAGAATGTTTCCTGTTTCCTGTTAGCTGGAAAGGTGTCAAATGGAATCTAAATTTACAAAAAAAGATCAGGCCTTTAGTTTGCAACAGTTGCTGTAAATTTCCACACACCGTTGCTGGAAAACAATAGCATACTGTGTGAAACATTTGATAACATTCTAACGGAGGCTACCAAGATTATCATTAATCATTATTGCAATTTCAACAGATAACTGACCCCAAACTCTATGAATATAATTTGCTAAAAGTTTTATGCTTTTTTCCCCCTCTGTTCTGCCGCAGGTACTTGGAAGGGGAAAAAAAAACAAGATCTCCATTTGGGACATCCGGTCTTTCTCACTGCAACGTAAGAGTTCATTTTCCTGTCTTAACTGGTTAGAGGTGACACTTATTCTCTGTTAAACAAAGTGAAAATGTGACCTTTTCCTCCAAGCATACAATGCATATTAGTTTCTTAGCTATTCGATTACAAAATGAACCCAGCCCAGTTCACACCACACATCTGTCATGAACTTGACTCTCTTCCAGCTGTTCAAATGGCAGCTGACACGCACAGTTGCTCGACCACCTCTCCTTTCTGCGTATATTCATCCTTTGTTTATGCTTTAGTGTTTTTCTCACTTAACCAGATAAGCCACACCACAGGACGTACCTGCTTCCTGAATTTTTACACACGGCCTCATGCATGAAACACGAGCGTATCTTCTTATGTAATTGTTGCATTTAATTAAATGGAATAATTGTTTAATGATCTACTGTACGGCCCATAAACTGTTTTTCCACACACTTTTTGACTCATGCATTAGTATTAGACTAGTCAACGTCAGAATTTCCTCTTTTTCTTTTTTTTATATAGGCAATCTACATGTTCTCTAATTTACTCATCTGCTCCAACTAGTTATTCATTCGTGTCTATAAGTGACAAGATTCAATTCTGAACTCGGCTGAGCGCATTGCAGCCATTTTCCATGCAGGGTGTGTGTGTTCTTCAGAAAGGGGGTTGCGGAAAAGCTGCATGCTTTTTTTTTCCCCCCTTCTAAACCAATCAGCATTGCTGTGGTATGAGTCACTCGCACACCCTGCCCTTTTTTGACAAAGAGGGAGGTGCTGTTTCTCAGACCGGACAGTGAAATGGTGGCTGCTTGTACAAAAACAGCAGCAACACCATTAGGAACTGACAGCTACAGACACATTTAAAGGTAAGATTCATAGCTTAGAACATTCTCCTGCTTAAACGTGTATCCTGTGACATGAGTGTGGAATAATATTGCTGCTTCATGTAACCGAAAATGTTTTGCTGTTCATCTAACCTCCTTCTTAAGCTAATTGTGTTAGCCTGTTTACAAGCCATACTGCCATTCATTCAGTCTAGAAACCTATTTTAGTGACTGACAAAGATAAACTGCATGTTATACAAAAAACTCTTTTTGTTTATAATAAGGAAAACATGAGTAAAGCCATGAGCATGACATCATTCATTATGCCATGTGGTTTGATGGGAATGTCAAACCTAACGTGCTTACTGTATTGGTTTTAGTTTTGAATTACTAGTTTGTTTGTCTGTGTCTGTGCAAACCGGTTTTTGATTACTACTGTATATTGAATAATCCCTTACTTTGTGAATAAGAGTCAACACTTAATGTGAACTTCCTTTCTGAAAGCACAAAAACCTGTAAATAAAATGTCATGTTATATACAAAATTTTTTTTTAAAGTAAATATATTTTCTACAGGTATGTCCCTGGCATGAAAGTAAAATTTTTAGTTACTAATTAGGAAACAGGTACAATTGATTATTATCATTCTGGACACGGCAGATTCAGAACTGGACAGCAACCTTTTACGTTTATAGAAAGAGAAAATATACATAACGGGCTACATAAACAGCTGCCTTTTAAGGTAGAATCTAATGGTCATTGAACCTTAAAAGAGATCAATTTGGGACACTCTACATAGGCAGCAACTCAAATAAAACCACAAGAGACAACTCAAAGTTGATTCCAATTGAGATAAATGTTAGTATGTTGCTATTCTAACAGCTTGGTACTCTAATATGTGTAAAAATACAAAAATCACACAAATTAGTAAAATTGTCCATTTTGAAATGTTGCATTGAACTATTTGATAGGTTTCAGTATTGAATGAAATGAAAGTTTACATTTCAAATATAGATTTATACTCAATTTAAAAATGTACAGTATATTCAAACAGAGAAGGAAATTCCACAAAGCATTTCTCCATTTTGACACTGCAGGTTCAGTTTCAAAATAAAGAAATGCGTTGTGGAATTGCCCTCTCTGTAAAGTATATGCACAATACTGAAGCCTAAAGGTATGGAAGCAGGGAAATTGCACTATTTTTGCCAAGGAAGCATGCTGGTTGTTGAATGTTCAGGACAAAAGTGTTGAAATGTAATTATGGTCTGTTCTGTTTTTATTAAGAATATGTTTTCCTTTAATTTCAGAATCAGACAACACTGAAAGACTAGAAGAGCCAAAGTCCAAGAGTCAGACCCATCTATGGCAGAAAAAGTGGAGATCAAAGCGACTGCGGTCAAAGTGCTGTGCTATGTGGAGAAAATCTCCTCCTTCGCCTCCTCCATAGATCCTCTCTTTGGGATTGTGACTTCAGTGGTCGGGGTCGTCAGGAAAGGCCTCACGGAAGAGGAAGACCATGAGATGGGCAAGGACTTCAGGGAGATCCATGAAAAGCTGGAAACCATCTCGGAGAAGAACAAGAAGGTGCTCCGACAGATCCGCATTGATGAGATCAACGAGAATTTCGGTAAACACGAGGAAGTCATCAAGCATCAGTACAATGCTTTCAACACAATGTTGGAAAGAGTAAAACTGGACCCTGAGAACTCAGATCATCACATGCAGGAGTTTGTGAAGATCTACGAGAAGGACGGCAGCGACATGAGCTTAGATGTGTTTTATCGTGGTGTGAAGGGAACCGCTGTGTTTGGGAGACCCATCCTACAAGTGTACCTGGAGAACTGTCAAAGGAACAAAAAGGTGATGGAGGCCCGCTGCTCTCACCTGGCCCACCTGTTTTACATCGGACTTATGGGGCTGATGGCCTACTACGCCGTCAGTGAGGATGACGAGGATGAAGTGAAAGACAAATGGGGCCCGAGGGTCATTGAGATTCAAGACAAGATGCAAGAAGTTCTGGACCAATGCACTGAGGAAGACTGAAGTCACACTGAACAACTGCTGAGACAAATCCGTTTCATAATATGCTGAAAGTTTTAATGTCACAAGCAATCTTGAATAAGGAAGTTTCAATAAATCCTGTGGGGTGTAAAATGGGTCATTCTTTCTCTGCTTGACAATGGACTTTTTGATGCAATCTCTTCTTGAAGGGATAGTTCACCCAAAAATGAAAATTATCACTTAATCTACTCACCCTCAAGCCACCCTAAGTGTAAATGACTTTCATCTTTCAGCCAAACACAATCAGAGTTATAAAAGCTCTCTTCCAAGCTGTATAATGGGAGGGAATAGAGACCAAAAAAAGTGCATCCATCCATCATAAAAGTAATCCATACCAATAAAGGCCTTCTGAAGCAAAGCCAGGATATTTTGTAATAGAACTCAGATTGTGTTTGGCTGAAAGAACAAAGTCATATACACCTACACTAGGGTGGCTTGAGGGTGAGTCAATTATGGGATCATTTTCAAAAACTATCCCTTTAATACTGTATATCACGGCTAAAAATGTTTTTAAAGAATATTAAGCATGTTTTGGTCATTATTGTGACTTAATATATTGTAAAAAATATATATTTCTAATGATGTGAGTCTTTGATGTGAGTTACACATTACGAATTATTATATAATTATTTGCTTATGTTTGATTATTCTTTGCACAATAAATGGATATATTTTGTTTTCTCTCATATGGCAGTTAGTCTTTGTATTTGTTGTGTTATATGACCAAATGTGATTTCTGCCATGTCAATTCATGATGTGATCACTAAGGACTATGACTGCAGAATGCAGGTGAATATGGAAATTGCTTTGATTTGCATTAAATGCAAAGTTGTCAAAGTTTCAAAGGCAGATTGATGTGGTTACAGAGTCTAATCTAAAATAAATGTTTAAAGGAGTATTCTGTGGTCAAGTTAAGTTTAATCAACAGCATGTATGGCATACTATTGCTTACAACTTCCACTTCTTTCTGGGTTATAAAGGGGCACTCATAATGGAAGTAAAGACCTTTATGTACTCACTGTTGCAAGTATACTCAAGACTTGCATGTTAACATGATTTAGTGTGAAAAATCTCTTATTCTGTGTAGTTTAGTGCTGTCGAATCAATTAATCGCATCTAACATCAACATTTGTGTGTGTGTGTAAAAATAGTATATAATATATATATATATATATATTAGGGGTGTAACGATACCCTCATGTCACGATTCTGAACTCACGATACGATGTTATTGCGATACTCCAAGACATATGATAAAAGGTTAACAAAAAATGTACTGTTGATTAAAACAAGACTTGGTGCTTGTAACCCAAGGACAATGACACCAGAATAAAAATATTCATGATTCTGAAGCTGAAAATACAGAATTATTTTAGACGAATATGCTTGCACTCCGTCACTGACTAGATATATTTAAAATAATGTATAGGCCACTCTTTACTGGTAACATAAGACATTTGGCATTATCAGGACCCACAAATATTCCCCCATTTCATTATTATACATTATAATCAACATTATGTATAGTAGTTTAATGTAGTACTGACACTAAAAGTCTGAAAAAATTGAATTTATTTCTCACACAGTAATTTTTATTTTGGGGGAACTATCCACGATACATATTGTCACTATACGTATTGTTGCATTTTTGTATTGCGATATATTGTGGCACGATATATTGTTATACCCCAAATATATATATATAATTCTACATGCATATATTATATAAACAAACTTTTATGTTAGAATCGATTAATTGCGATTAATCAATTTGACAGCACTCATATATACGTGTGTGTATATATGTATACACACACACATGTATATTTACAAACTTTTGTTTGGTGCGATAAATCGCGATTCGTTGATTTGACAGCACTTTGATTGGATTAATCGATTTGACAGTGTAACCCGTAAAGAAAAACTACAAATTATGATTTACAGCTCAAATAAAGTGCACATTGTAAGAGCTTTTAAAATAAGCCTTACATTTCTGCTTTTAAATGACCTAATTTACCTCCATTAAAAGTTCCTCACTGTTTTTTGCTAATTTTTTTAAAAGAAAACGAGGAACAAAATTATTCTTGCAGTAATCAACATTAAGCCGCAAATGCTGATTGAGCCATGGATTCCTTGTAGATGTTTAACTCTGAGATTGTGATCTGTTTCCTTCTTCAGGTCAGCTATAAGATAAGAGCTTAATACCTCCAATCTTCCTCCAGACACAATGGCTGAGATCTTCGAGGACCGAGAGAAGCTGAAGAGGGGCCTTGTGAAGGTTCTCGAATGTGTGGCCACCATCTCGTCAGCAGCAGCGGTGGTCAATCCCATCTTCGGCGTGGCCGGCTCTCTCATCCGGGTGGTGCTGCACCATGTGGACGATGAAGACATTCAGAAACTCAGACGGGAGTTCGGCAGCGTGAATCGAGCCCTGGATGAAATTTCACAGCAGAACCGCCAAGCCCTGCTGCAAATCAGGAAGGAGACGTTGGACAAACAGTACCACGAGGTGGAAGAAAACATTCGCAATCAGTTCCGCAAATTCGTGGAGATCGTGGAGGCCAAGCCGGAGAACCTGCAACGCAAGAAGGAAGATTTCGTCGAGAGCTTCATCAACGACAAAGATGACCAGAACATGTACACGCTTTATGAAGGCGTGATGGGGAAGCGCAAACTCTTCAGCCAGCCCATTCTGGAGGTGTACATGAAGCATTCGCAGGGTGACAAGCACGTCATGGAAAACCTCTGCACGCGACTCGCATACCTGTTCTGCATCGGGTTCATCGCTCTGATGGGCTACTACGGCATCCTGGGGGATGACTTGGAATCTCGCAACGAGGAATGGGAAGAGAATATGAAGAACGTGCAGGTGAAAATGCAGGAGGTGCTGAGGAGATGCAAGTGATCCTGATGCCTTTCTGCACAACCAACGCTCTTTATTGCACTTGTGCTTTGCCTTTTCCTGTAATGGACTTCATCGACCTGCAGCATCTAATGCAGCATTATCCTCCTGATGAGCAGGTTATGCTGACGGGTTCACAGTCATTTCCTGTAATCTGCTTCTTGTTTTTGTTTTTTAATCACATGATCACATTTCTTCATGCCTTGCCTCAGTTTAACACTACATGACAAACATAATTCACACTAATCTACAGAATGCTGACTGTGCTTATATCAATATTATTAAAGTTCAAAAGCAGTGTCACCTTGAAAATTATTTTTTTAAAAGCTTCAACACTACATAAATATAAATTATGTTCAATGAAACTATCTCTCTCTCTATTATCTATCTGTCTGTCTATCTAGCATCTATCTATCTGTCTTTCTATCTATAGGCCTATATCTATCTATCTATACAAACGTTGCAAAATAAAGAGCATACAATTTTCTGTCTGAAATTTTCATGTTTATTTTTTCGCATACTTAAATCTATTTAGTAGTAGATTCGAGTATGCATTTAATTGTATCGTGTGTCATTTTTAGTGCCATTGGAACAGATTATCAGATCATATATTTTAATATAAGAAGTGACATCTAAACTGAAGTTTTTTTTTTTTTTTTTGCATTCCTTTGACCCTTTTATTTGGGATAAATAAAGCACCTGATGTGCTTGCTATACCGCAACCCAATGTACAGTGCTGCACGTTTAGTCTGTTCAGTCAAGATTGAAGTTTATCTAGATAATCATGTTTCTTTTACATGTATCCGTAAAGCACTGGCATATAAATGCCACTATAATTCTGTGTCATGTACTTGAATGTCTTGAGGATTGGAACATGTAACCTTCCCAATCATTATTAAAACACATTTTCTTGTTATTCAGTCTTTGGAATGCTGTTGCACTTATAACACTGTACAATATTGTTACATTTTTCAATAAAGATACAAGGAAATATTCCAAGTAGTTTTGACTCAAATTCTTTACATACAGTATATATACACTCACCGGCCACTTTATTAGGTACACCTGTCCAACTGCTCGTTAACACTTAATTTCTAAGCAGCCAATCACATGGCGGCAACTCAGTGCATTTAGGCATGTAGACATGGTCAAGACAATCTCCTGCAGTTCAAACCGAGCATCAGTATGGGGAAGAAAGGTGATTTGAGTGACTTTGAACGTGGCATGATTGTTGGTGCCAGAAGGGCTGGTCTGAGTATTTCAGAAACTGCTAATCTACTGGGATTTTCACGCACAACCATCTCTAGGGTTTACAGAGAATGGTCCGAAAAAGAAAAAACATCCAGTGAGCGGCAGTTCTGTGGGCGGAAATGCCTTGTTGATGCCAGAGGTCAGAGGAGAATGGCCAGACTGGTTCGAGCTGATAGAAGGGCAACAGTGACTGAAATAACCACTCGTTACAACCGAGGTATGCAGCAAAGCATTTGTGAAGCCACAACACGCACAACCTTGAGGCGGATGGGCTACAACAGCAGAAGACTCCACCGGGTACCACTCATCTCCACTACAAATAGGAAAAAGAGGCTACAATTTGCAAGAGCTCACCAAAATTGAACAGTTGAAGACTGGAAAAATGTTGCCTGGTCTGATGAGTCTCGATTTCTGTTGAGACATTCAGATGTTAGAGTCAGAATTTGGCGTAAACAGAATGAGAACATGGAACCATCATGCCTTGTTACCACTGTGCAGGCTGGTGGTGGTGGTGTAATGGTGTGGGGGATGTTTTCCTGGCACACTTTAGGCCCCTTAGTGCCAATTGGGCATCGTTTAAATGCCACGGCCTACCTGAGCATTGTTTCTGACCATGTCCATCCCTTTATGGCCACCATGTACCCATCCTCTGATGGCTACTTCCACCATGTCACAAAGCTCTAATCATTTCAAATTGGTTTCTTGAACATGACAATGAGTTCACTGTACTAAAATGGCCTCCACAGTCACCAGATCTCAACCCAATAGAGCATCTTAGGGATGTGGTGGAACGGGAGATTCGCATCATGGATGTGCAGCCGACAAATCTGCGGCAACTGTGTGATGCCATCATGTCAATATGGACCAAACTCCCTGAGGAATGCTTCCAGCACCTTGTTGAATCTATGCCACGAAGAATTGAGGCAGTTCTGAAGGCAAAAGGGGGTCCAACCCGTTACTAGCATGGGGTACCTAATAAAGTGGCCGCAGAGT